CCCCCTTGACCTGTCCGTCCTCCCTGGACTGACCTATCCCCTTCCTAACTCCCTACCTACACTCACCTTTACTGGCTCCATCCCCGCCTCTTCGACCTGTTTGTTTCCTCTCCACCTATCCTCTCCTCTATCCCTCTTCTATCTGCCTCCCACTCTCTCCCTATTTATTTCAAAACCCCCTTCCCCTCCCCCTTTTCTGATGAAGGGTCTAGGCCCGAAATGTCAGCCTCTCTGCTCCTGTGATGCTGCTTGGCCTGCTGTGTTCATCCAGCCCTGCACCTTGTTGACCAGAATCATTGAATTGTGTATCACAAAGGCTAGCCATTTAATCCATCATTGCTCTGCTCACTGTCTCAGACAGCTGCTCGATCAGTTCCTTAATTCTCCTTTTGACCTCAGAAAATGTTTTCAGGTTATTTTACCATTAATCTATTCTAATCGCAATTGTTCCATTCATGTTATGATATATATTGCATAGCATTTTCAAAGGAAGAACGACCTTCTGATCTCGTCTTGACCACCTAAGAGTTGGAGACAATGGTGAAGATGGTCAAAGAACAACAACCGCAGAGATTTTCTCCTAATTGGGGGATAAAAATGAACCCTGCGGGATATAGGAGAATGTGGTGAGTTAAATGTAGCAGGCATGACTGGGAAATCTGCACACAGCACCCACATTAGCAAGGTAATTGATAACGAAGATATCTGCAGGAAGATATTAATGGTTCGGGTTGAGTGGACAAAAAAGTGGCAAATGGTATTCAATCTGAAGAAGTGCAACATGAGCATTTCTGAAGGGCAGAGTAAGGGAATACACAATAAGCAGGAGGATATTTAGATGGGCACAGACAGTAAGAGACCTGTGAGTGCCTGCTCATAGGTCTCCGAAGGTAGTAGTACAAGTTGATCAGGTGGTAAAGAAGGCATACAGGATGTTTTCCAGCATTGAGCGAGATATTGGATACAAGAGCTGCAATATATATAAGAACTATATGAAACACTGGTTAGACATTAACTAATGTTTTGAGTATAGTTCTGGTTACCATTTTACAGGAAGAATAAAATTGCTCAAGAGGGAATACAGGAGAGATGTATAAAAATATTGCCAAGGCTTGAAAATTGCTGGTATAAGGGAATATTAGATCGGGTTAGGGTTGTATCCCTTAAAATAGAGGAGGCTGAAGGGTGACTTAATTAAAGTATACAAAATAATAAGGAACTCTAATGGAGTGGACAGGAAAGATCTATCTCCATTAGCAGAGATGGCAATTATTAATGCACACAGCTTTAAGGTAATTCGTAGAGCATTAGAGGGTCTCTGGGAAGAAACATTTTCAACCAGAGGGTGGAATTCGCTGTCCAGTTTGGTGATTCACACGCAAACCCTCAACTCATTTAAAACAGACCTAGACAAGCCCTTGAAGCGCAGTCACTTGCAAATCTATGGATCAGGTGCTGGAAAGTGGGATTAGAATGGCCAGCTAATTTATTCAGTCTGTGTAAACATGATGGGCTGAATGGCCTCTTTCTGTGTTGTAACTTATGTATTGTTCAACGGTTTGGATTTTTAACCTACTTTTCATATTTCCCAAAAGACCACATGGTTTTAAGTGGGATAGAGAATGTACCTATTACGATGCACCAGGAATTGCAATTATTTGGGACAATTTACATGGAGCTAATTGTCTTTTTCCAGTTTCCTGCACTAATCGTCAATGACTTTTACTTGGATATTTGGTACCTATTTATTGCTAAATTATGGATTCTGGAGTATTGTTAATAAAGTAGAAGCATCTGATAGCGCTTGTCACAGCTGCAATTTTTTTCTGTCTGATCATGGACTATCTCTGGTTTTAAGACTCATTCTAGGTTTACACAGATCAACGAGATATAGCAATTGTCACGCTGCCCTGTGTGGGTGAGCTCAGGTTACTTATAGATGGAAACAAAGTGATAGCCTCTTTACACCAGAATCTCTGACACCATTTAAATTTGCCTTAAGGTAACATAAAGTGAGGTAGACCTCCAAAAGATGACATGTAAGAGAAAAATCACAGGAAATTTTTGAACGAATAATTATCTTTACAGATGATTATTCTAATTCTGATGCTTGAACATGCAAACAATTTGTCTAGGTTCCACAACCATTTATTAGTTGATTAAAGATTGACTAATATGAGTACTTCAGTTAAATATTTTACCTTTGATACTTGTACTGGTCCAGATTTAGTGATTTTGGAGAGGTTTGCATTATTAGTGAAGATATCTACAATGCCCATTGCAATCAGCAGCTGCTTGAGTTGGTAAGTCGATCTCAACGATAACTTTGGGAGGTGTAGATCCACAGACCTATTTGGTATCAGAAATAATATATTTATTTTCTCCAAATTTGTACACTTACCTTAAATTTTATTTTTAATTTTTATTTTCATTTCTTAATTTTGACCTCCAATTTATATATATTATAAATGATATATTCCTGGTTTTCGTTCACTGGTTCTACACTTTGCAAGGTGATGATGATTTTTGCTTGTACATAGCTCCACTGCATAATTGGTATTTTCCTGAACAACCATTCTTTACATGTGAACATTCTCAGTCAATGTTAAAGGCCACTTACAGGGCAACCTTGCAGAGGAGTTAGTTCCTGTGTTGCCGTCACATACTGCCCATATGCTGCTTTTCCAACAGGGGGCATTGGATAGCAATTAGGAACAGGAAGACTGGTAGCTCTGTAAGCATAGAGAATCTCAGGAATCTACAAAGAATCTCTCTTGTTGGAAGAGATTTTGTTTTAACAGGAAAATGTTCTAAATTTAGAGTAGTTCAGCCCAAAAGCAGGATTTTAAATTTATTCTGATGTCAACTGTATGTTTTAAAACTAATTCAAAACTAATAATGATTTTTATACCTCTCTTTCATTTTTAAAATTGTTTTTGAGTTCTACTTAGACTCAGAAATCGATATGGAATAAATGGGCTGGCATGGTGCCTCAGTGGTTAGCACTGCGGCCTCATAGTTTGATGGACTTGGGTTCAATTCCATCTGTGTGAAATTTGTATATACTTCCTGTGTCTATGTGGGTTTGCTCTGGTTTCCTCCCACAGTCTAAAGATGTGCAGTTTAGGTGGATTGGCCATGGGAAACGCAGGCAGGGTTTGGGTGGGATAATCTTCAGAGGGTCACTGTGGACTTTATGGGCCAAATGGCCTGCTTCCATACCGTAGGGATTCTATGACTCTAAATAAAAACTAATTTGACTCATTGAGCATATTACTTCAAGCAAGATGCAAATAAATATTTACTGGAGAAGGTGCACTGAGTAGTTTGGTGCAGCTACACAAATACAGAGAATTTTGATGGGATTTTAAAATGGAACATGAGATCCAAAAAGCATCCCAGTCTGCAGGGTAGCTCAGACCTATGTGAGGAGTGCTAGTAACTGAGTATCTCTTTAACCGGTCAGACTGAAGAAGCACAAATGAGCAGCATAGAGTCTGAATTGGGAAATACCATCAGTTAGGTTAATGAATTCAATGTCAAATTGAGTTCAGAAAATAAGACGAAAAGGGATAAACAAAAATTGGATCAAGAAGGGACAAAGAAAAGTTTTGAAATTATTTCAATCTGAGAAATTTTAAGAAATCAATAATAATTAAAATTGGGAGGAATGAATTTCTGCAGTTGTAAGAGACTATTTTTAAGTGCTAGATAGATTGGTGGTAATTAAAACTTATCATATTTGTTAGAAGGGTATTTATACTAAAATGTGCCAGCCCTAACATTTGTTGGCAAGTTTAATCCATGTCTATGAAGCGATTCAGCAGTTTCACACTAATTAATATGTTCGAATGGTAGATCTGACAGGGAGGTGCCATTTTTGGCAAGATTTTGAAGGAAAAGTGCATCTTGGACAAAACTCTAGATTTTCTGTTTACAGTGAGAAAATGAGATTGCCAGAAGTTATCCGCTTTCCATGTAAAGGTGAGCAAACCTAGCCTGCTGTTTATTTCAACCACAAATTCCAGTCCTTATTTACCTCTTTGATTGCTGGAATTTTCACATGGAGTTGTTGCCAATCATTGTAGGATTTGTCCTAAATAAAATATCAGCTCATGAAAATTAATTTTTTCCTGGCTTTATAAATGGCACACTACACTAGGTTATAGTCCAACAGGTTTATTTGAAATCACAAGCTTTCAGAGCATGGCCTCTTCATCAGGTGAAGTGCACTTGAAAACGCTTGCGATAAATAAACCTGTTGGATCATAACCTGGTGTCGTGTGATTTGTGACTTTGTCCACCCCAGTCCAACACTGGCACCTCACATCATATTACAAATGAATATTTTAACTCTACACTGAGGCATCATTGTTCAATAGGAGTAAGGCAAGAATTGGGATACTATTAACTCTGCCAATTTTCCAAACTTTATTTTTCATTAAAAATTTTAACCAATTGCACATCTCATGGATCCCCCTCATTTCTGGTATATGATGGAATTTGAACTAAGACATAATCAAAGATGAGAAAGCACTCTCCCCGACTTCTTTTATCTTTTCAGAAGGGTGAGTGACTATTGTTAAAACTCTTCTGGTCAAGACTAATGAATCAAAAATTCCAGGATATTAACTGAAAACAGAAACATGACTGGATTAACAATAGACTACACAGTCCCTGTTCCACCATTGATAATAGATGATCTTCAGATCAAATCCACTTAGCTGTCTACTAAGGCATCTCAGTCTAAATTTAAATTCCCTACTTAGTCTGCTAGGATTTGAACTTATGCTTTCCAAAATGATTAGTTGAGGTTCTTACTTTTATTAGCCAAGTAACATCACCACTATACCACTGCACTCTCATATGCTGCTAGGAAATTGCAAAGGGTCAATTTATCGGAAGTGGAATTCAAATCTATGCTTCAGAGAAACATCAAACTGAAGACAGTTGGATCACTCCAGTGCACTGGAGTTTTACCCTTTCGGCACCTCTTTCATGAATGCAATAGATATTGGGGCAATAAGATCATGCAATCTAAAAGTAAAGGTACCACAAAATCATGGATCTTTTGCTACCTTGTCACTGATTGTAACACATCACCTCTGTGTAGGTGGAAAATAATTATATTTAATTTTATTTCATTGGTGCAACAAACTTACCCAATCCGTAATGATGTTATTAAGTGCTGAAAATTGGTAATTGTCAGGTTTTGTTCCACTCCTGCCAATTTTCCTGGGTCTGGTAGTATAAGCACAAGAGAAGCATTTCCTCTGTATGGAATCAAAATCACAGAACTAGCAAGTTCTTCATCATAATTCATAGCATATCTTCCTTTTCTCTTCATCATTTGAACTTTAACTGTTGTTGTATCATCGACATGAAAGTCATCTTCATAGGTTTTCTGAGGATCAAAAGGTTTCATCCATTTACCTAAAAGAACCAAATAGTGATGATGAGAGATTTTGTAGGTGTTCTGAAGAAGAGTCATATTGGACTCAAAATGTTTCTCTTTTCATGTAAGCCACCAGAACTATTGAATTTCTCCAGCATTTTCTGTTTTTACATTATCTTACAGATAATGAGAGACTTAGTTTATTCACCTGTACGTAAGGGCATTTTTCCTCAGTTCTTAAATACTAACATAGAGATGATTTTCAAATCCTTCTATTGCCTTGACACTCCCTTTCAATGAAATCTCCACCACCATTACAACCTTTGGGTTTCATTAATTTTGGGACCTCGCACAGCTCTGGTTTGAATAACTTTGACAGTTTTCTACCTGGGCTCTAAGCTCACAAATTACTTCCTTAAGTTTCTCAATTTTTTCCCCTGATCAATGTATTCAGAGATACTATTATATACCTCTAGAGCAGGTGGGACTTGAATCCAGGCTTCCACCAATCCAAGGGACTTTATCGCTGCACCACACAAGTTGCTGTTTAAAGTCTAACCCTTTGGCCAAGCTTTTTGTCACATGTCCTAGAATTCCCTACGAGTGGCTTGGTGTCAAATCTTGTGTCGAGATGTTTAATTACATTAAAGGTCTATCTATAAAAGTTGTTCATATTGATTTCCTATATTAATGTTGAAGAGATGAAATAAAATTCCATAGAAATTCTTAAAAGTCGCACTTATCTTTACCTTTCTGCCATTTCTACTAATGTAGGTATTATAACAAAATGACACGTTTTCTTTCCTCTTTCCGATCTCATTAAATGAATTTGAATGTGCCTGGGGGAAATGGAATTCCTTCTTTCAGGCTTACGAAGGGAATATTGACGCTGGTGAACTGGATATACCCAAAGGAGGAATTTTAACTTCCTTAGGTGAGGAAACAATTAGCCTCCACCAAAGAAGTTGTGTTCTGATGATAAGGCTGAGTTCAAGAATTCAACGGCTGTTGTGTTTGTGAATATTATCAAATTAATATTACTCAATGCATGACAATTATGATAATCATTCTTTATTAAAGTACATATTTCAAGTCAAAACCAACTTAGATTTCTTGCTATTCAATGCTTCCCTGTCATTTTGAAGGCCTTTAATACAATAACTCAAAGTCTAAAATAGAATAGGTTTGGATTAATAACTCTCTCACCTTTATTGCCACAATTTGTTCAGGAAGACAGATCCCATGTCATAATACTATGCAAACATGAGCAACTACAGATTGCAATATTGCATATGTCATCCTTACTCTTCGGCACATTCCTGTAGGGAATTCCATTACCTCACATCAGTATATACACTAGGTACTCAGATTCATAAAGTTACAAGCATGTACACAACACATGCACAGCTAACATAAAATAAACTGTTTCAAGTAATGTTTGTTTGATAGCTCTGCCAGACTATAAACAAAAGTGACTCCAGTAGAGGCAGAGGTCGAGTGATGACAGCAAGCCAGCAGTGCACTATACAATTGCATCCTCATTTTATTTAAAAGCAAAAGAAAATTTGCAATCACAAGTTACACAAATTACGAAATATACATGGTGCCAATAAATGCTTATTCATTAACAAAATAGAATGCCAACCCATGTCCATTCCACTTTTGCCAGTCACTGCACATGCATGGCATGCATAGTTTATAAATCATGCAGGTCTCCTAATGATACAGATATTCATTTTTGTTGTCCATCTCTCACATATTTAATCTTTCCTGATGTGCCTCCTTCTCCAGGGAGTATTGTTTCTAAGGCAAGTGCTGTTGCCACTGTAACTGTTAATGTTGACCCATGTTTATTGCTGGGGAATGCAGGAACTCTGGGTCTGATGGTCTGTACTTTGCGTAGGCCACGACGCTGTATCTTTCTGATCCACTCTCTGTAGTGAAGGAAATGTCTGTAGTTTCGATGATATATTTGTTCGCTCATGTTTATCACATATAATCGAGGTGACAACTGTCGTGCTCAGATCTCACATTGCCGTATAGGCTGAATTTTGTTTATAACATTTAACATTTGTTAGCAATGTTGTGAGGTTTTATCAATGTGAAATTTGGCCTTTTGTCATTCCTCCTTGACTCTGTCAATCATGCCTATTATTAACTGTGACTTCAATAGTTTTTACACTATTGGAAGAGTAGATTTGGACAGGCATTACATCAATCTTTGGTCTGGATTACTTTCCATGTCTTCTGTAGGTGTGTTTCTCTGCTCAAAGATCACCTTCTATAGGTCTGGATTTTCATGGTTTCTTTAGAATCCCTTTGGTGATCTTCACTGCTGCCTCACCTTTTCCATTTGACTGGGGATAGTGTGGAGATGATATGTGGTGTTGAATTTCCCAATCCTTTCTGAATTGAGGGCCATTATCACTCAGTACAACTTCTAGAATGCTGCAATGACTTTCGAACATTCTACTATTTCATTGAAGTCACTATGTGGAAGTGCCAGTGTTGGACTGGGGTGGACAAAGCGCTCCGAAAGCTTGAGATTTCAAATAAACCTGTTGGACTATAACCTGGTCTCGTGTGACTTCCAGCATTGAAGTCATTGACGTTAACTGGTCAACCTCCCAGTGGTCAGAACAGCAGTTGATCGTGACCAGATAATCATTCCTTGTGAGAGTGAAGAGACCTACCTCAAGCTTCAACTCAGACTGTTTCTCCCACCAGTTTCTGTAAGCTGTTGTCTTTAATCAGTAACTAAGATCCTTTGTAATTAGTGTACCAATCACCCTACACCTCCTGTAAAGAACTGAAAGATCCTGGAGAAAGGACGGAAAGTCCTGGCAAACCAGAAGAAACATCTCAAAAAACCCTCTGGGCTGGCGCTATGGAATTGCGTTTCCTGGGTTTTTTTATTCCACTGCACTCACAAAACAAATGCTTTTTTTCAAATTTGTCTGTATCCGTATGTAGGTGTTTAAAAGAGGGTTAGAGTTTTTAGTACTGGAAACACATGTTGTTGGTTTAGAGATAGTAGGAACTGCAGATGCTGGAGAATCTGAGATAACAAGGTGTAGAGCTGGATGAACACAGCAGGCCAAGCAGCATCA